TTTAATTATCCAAATTGACCAACTTACCAAAAATTGTGCAAAAAAACAAAACAAAAAATGTAATCATAAAATTCATTCCTTCATTTATTTTCTTTTTGGCTTAGTCCTTTATTAAGCAGTCGCCACAGCAGAATGGACTACCATTTTAGCACATGTTTTACGCAGCGGTTGCCCTTCCAGCTGCAACCCATCTATGAGAAACATTCATACAAACTCATTTACACTCATACACTATGGACAATTTAGCCTACCCAGTTCACCTATACCACATGTCTTTAGACTGTGGGGCAAACCGGATCACACGGAGGAAACCCACGCAACGCTGGGCGAACATGCAAACTCCACACAGAAACGCCAACTGACCCAGCCAAGGCTCGAACCAGCGTCCTTCTTGCCGTAAGGCGACAGCACTACCTACTCCGCCACCGTGTCACCATAATTATAAAATGTCTTGTCTCATATGTCTTATAATAAAATAAGCAGACCTTTCAAACCTACTGAATTAAATGTTGGGATGCAATGCTAAATTGTAGCATTTCTTTGGCAACATGCAATCACGTGGGTTATATCATCATACCGCTTGGAGGATTTTTCATTGTAGCCGAGTTGACAGCTTGTGGGCTCTTTGTTGAGCTGAGATAGAGGTAAGACATGCTCCAAAATCTAAAGGGTGGAAGTGGTGAAGTTAATGAAATAACTTACTTGTATTTCTATATTAATGCTTACACACAACAATGTTGTGATGAATGTTCAAATAAAATGGCACATTGCTTCATTGCTGCTAGGCATGGGACTCGTTTTTGTGTACGTTATGCCACGTTTTATTAAAACTATAGCATTTCCTAATTTTTACAAATAATTGTTATTGACAATGGTTTACCCTCAATAAATACAGATACTGATTACAACTCTAGGAAAGCTGTAAAATGAGGCTAAAAGGGAAGTGTTCCTTTGAGTCCCATCAGGACATAGCAAACTGGATCCACTTTATCCACCCCTAGTTGACCCCAAAAGAGTCGCACTTCATCTGTGAGGCACAGGTCAGCACGGGTGATGTCTTGCTAAAATACAGTCTGTTCATTGAGCCGTTTGACAAAAGGTGCCCTGTTAACCTGTCTGTACTTATCAGTGCCCGCAGTTTAGAGCTCAGCTCTCTTTGATCATCCGTTTTGCCCCATTTCAGCCCATTGTTCTCCACTCGTCACTCCCAGCCATTCAGATCCCACATACACACACCTAAATCAAACTGATTACTGATGAAACTTAGCCAGCTCTCTTTTCATTTGATTTTCATTTCAAAGAAGCGTTAGTGCAGATCCAGCTCTAAATTATGATTATTATCACTCAGGGAGGCAGGCTGATTCATTTCCAAGAGGGACGACTGAAACACTTGAGCTGATATGAGGAAAGCAGATCAAAGCAAAGAGTGGAGTGCAGGGGGAAGGGAATGAGAGAAAGAGAATGGAGAGGAGAAAACAAACAAACATGCAGATGCTGTTCAGAGTGTAGATCTCACAGGATTAGCCTGCATTTTCTTTCATTTGCAGCTCTAATTCGCACAGCTACTCAACCTGAGCCACAAACCTGTCTCGCGCTGTATTGTGGGAAATTTTGTGCTATTTTCTCTGAGAGTGGATTGATTTTATTTGTCAGCTCACTCTCGCACATTTAGATGTCATGCTGGTTCTGCTTTTAAATAATGTATCAGGCCAGCAATATTCTGCATAAGTGAGCCAGAACATTTTATGTCTCTTTATATATGCTGAGCTAGGTCAGAAGAAATAAATATGTGCAGCAATTTGAGTCACAGTGCTGCACCCAATCATCTGGTTCTTTTCTCTACTTTGCTTATGGGAACAATGAAGTTACCTTTGCACCTTGACACTGTTTGCAAAACACCTCGATGCTGCCCATGCTGTTGTGAATGGAATTTAGATGAATATTTGGACCACAAAACCTGTCATAAGTGTCAACTTTTTAAAATTAATATCTTTTCATAATCTGAAAGCTGAATAGTTAAATTGAGATGCAACCGTTTTAAATTTTGGAATCTAAGGGCTCTATTTTAAAAGATCTAGGTGCAAAGTCTAAAGCACATGGCGTGAAAGCATTCAGGGCGTGTCTAAATGGATGGAAAAATGCACTCTGGATCCTACGATTATGCTCTTAATGTGTTTTGGATATGTAATGACTATAACGCGTATTAAACCAATCAGAGTCTAATCTCCCATTCCCCTTATTACTCAGTTTTGTTGCACCATGGCGCATTTGCTATTTATCTGGCGGACTTTGTGAGTAAAAAAACTGAACGCCTTACTAGCGAGAAAACAGTTAAACAAACCATCTGCCTGAGGATAAAGAGTGAACCTTCTCCATTCGTCCACTTTACTTTCTCTTTATGTATACTTTTTACTTTACTCTTTTACTTTGGTGGAGTATGGAAACAGTGTTGTACGCACTCCGCTGAAGACATCCATTAGCCTACATATTTAATTTAGTTTGTTAAGCGCAGAGATTGGTTTCAAAACTATTTCTAAATTCAGTTCTAATTTCCAGCAAATGAATGAATGAGCAATAATAATGAAGTGTGGTCAGAAGTTATATCAAAATACACGTTCTATTCTTATGCACCATATGGGCCAAAACCGACAAGTGGACAAATCTAAACTTGCTTTAATTAAAGCAAATATAATAATACTGCTAATAATAATATTATACGATAGCAAATTGTCATGAATAAACTGAAAAAGCCATCTGACATGAAGAAAGCAGAGGCAGTGTTTTTTATATTCATGTAGAAAATAATAATTTAGTAATATTTTAATTCTTCAATTTTTTTCATTTAATTTTTTCATATCTAACATGATTTAGATCAGTTTTTATTTTGTCAATGGAACTGTCTTTTTTAGTTCCTCACCATAGCAACGCGCCAACAATGCGCCTTAACACTCCTTCTTCATAGACCAGCATGCTCATGAGTCCACAAAGTGGTGCAAATTGATTTGCTATTTAAACAATGTGGTGCAAAATGTTAAAATTACTGTTGCACTGGTCTGAAAATAGCAACAAATCGCGTCAAATATGTTTTGTGCCTTACTGTGAGCCCTAGTATTATAGGGCTCTATGTTAAAAAAACAGAATACTGTGAACATCCCATATAAAGTAGTGATGTTAAGACGTGAGCAATGCATGTTACCAATTAAAAAGATTGTTTTGATATTAATCCCCTCTAAAATGTACTAAATTTCATCATAGATCATAATCTCAATTTAAATGTCTAATGATTTTTCACATAAAAGAAAAATCTATGCTTTTGACACATATTGTGTGTTTTGGCTATTGGTAAAATATACCCATGGAACATGTTGAGCCTGACACAATGAGGAATTTTTGTTGTGTGATGTATTGTCACAGAAATTGTTAAGATTAGCGTTATTATTGTCATTTTTATGCCACTGATTATTTAATGATTATACAGCAACATAAAAATGCAAATAGCTATAAACACTTTTAAATGTTTATCATTCGTAATGTTATTTAGATTATATAATTTGATGTTATAAAGGTAAATTATATATACTGTTAAATGTCCTATTAGGTAAATGCCCAATTAAAAACGTTGACACCAGTAAGGTAGAATATAAATGTCATTGTAAAAAAAGTTATTTGTAAATTTGTCAATATATATTGCAATGGCAAAAATTATTGAGGTCGTCTCTAAGTATTGCACGATAAGTCAATATATTGATTATTGTGATAGGCCTACATAAAACCAGTTTTGTCATCTAGGATAATATTTTTTCTCAATAACAAAATAAACATCTGATTGTGGCTGTTAAAAAAAGAAAGCATCTCATTTTAGTCACATGGATTTAGAACCTCATCTAATTCATTGCTTTAAAGCAAGCAGCTTTATAGTCAAACATTAAAAAATCAGAGTCACTTCCAGTTAAAAGTTTCTTTTTTCATAGATGAAGCCCCGATTAACTTTTTTAATGCAAACGTTGATTTCAGGATGCACAAAACTTAATTTGGGTCAGATTGTTTTTTTTTTTTTTGGCCTGGTTTTAAAGTTATACCACAGTGTCTTTTAAATTCGCTGGAAGCATATTGAGGGTTAAACATGCATTTTAGGATTTTTTTTTTTTTTTTTTGGTATTTAAAAATAGTTTTTTTATTGTGTGCAGTTCACTGTTACTTATGTAGTTTCAAGCTACACTGGCCACAGTGTTTTTAACTCAATATAAAGAACTCTCTCAAAAGAGTCATTTACCCCTGAAGCAGACTATATTGTTGGTTTTTACATGCAGCTCATGTAGTAAGTGCTACTGAAAAATGTTTCCAGCTATTATTTCTTGGCACAGTGCCATTTTATTGCATTATATTCAATACAGAAAGCAAAATCTCATTTAAAACTTGGGGAAAATACATGTGAAATAAAGCGGTGCTGGAGATTCTGCTGCACAGCAGGACTTGCTGATATATGAAAGCTTATAACTTGGTTCATTAGAAAAATATTGATACTTTTAAATGTTTTTTTTTTATAGAAAATTCCAAAAGAGGGATATATATTATGGCATGTAGGGATGCTCATAAAAACCGATTCACCGTTAAGCAAAAAGGTGTGTTTTAACCGATTGAAGGTATCAGTTAAATGATTTATATATATATATACCGGAAAAAAATTAATAAATATATGATAATAATTTAATATTAATCTGACCAGTTAGTGGTTAATAATTGGTTAACGCACAGCGGTTGCCGGTTCACAAAATTAGCCAAAATGAGCATCCCTAGTGGCATGTAACAGTGAGACATGGAGATTCAGCTCTGAAATGACTGCAATATATAAATGTTTAACTAGCCGGAAGTATGAATTGAGTAAAGGATGGTGTTTGGATTTAATATTTCATGTAAAACTTCTTGTTTTGCAAAGTCTGTACCTAGATTAGTTCCATAATAGAACTGTAACAACTTTTGACCCACTTTTTTGTTCGCAGCCTCAGTCCACCCCTGTGACCAGAGGCTAGGACCATGATGCTCAGCAGCTCAGTGGACGTACCCAGCCCAGGCGGGATGAGTGCAGTGGCAGCCCGAAATGTGGTCCGCAGTTCCAGCATCAGTGGAGCCATGTACAGCTTGGAGAAAAGCCCCAGCAGCACAGGACCCGACGGCACCAGCCTGACCGGAAACAAGAAGCGTCGCTCCAGCCTCGGAGCCAAGATGGTGGCTATTGTGGGTCTGTCACAGTGGAGCAAGAGCACACTGCAACTCAACCAGCAAGGTAAGCTGCTTTCAATACTACAGTCGTCTTTCTCCAACTACTCTCCTGTTCTCTTTCAGATATGCTTACGTTTTTCTTTCACCTCAATTTCCTCTCACTGTCACACCCTGAACAACTTCACAGCTTTGTATTTCTGCATGTGTTGTAACTTTTTTCTCACTTCATTTTTCTTCATGCTTTCCTTCACCTTCACTCAAATATTTTATCCTTAGTTGACTTTACAGTTCAGCTCTACAGTGCCAAGTACCAGCTAGGGCTGCACAATATATTGTTTCAGCATTATTATCACAATGTGTGCATCCGCCAAAGTCACATAGCAGGATCTTCAGTGTTGAGTTGAAATAATAGTTGATTATAATTAATGCAGAGTTGAAATATGATGGAGTAAAAGTTCATCACAAGCATGCGTTTTCAAAAAGGTAGTTCACCCAAAAATAAACTTTACTCACTATTTTCAAAGATTTATAAGTTTCTTTTTTATGTTAAACAAACAAACAAAAAAAGATATTTTAATAACTCATAAACGTTTGAAACAAGTGAAGGTTAAGTAAATATTGAGTACATTTATAATTTTGGGTGAATTATCGCTTTAAGGCCTTTCCATTCCAACATTTCAGGGTTTAAAGCATCCGCCACAATAAATTTTAGTGTTTATAACTTTAATAAGGATTACATTATATTCACTGTAAAAGTTTATCTATCAGCCCACGATAGAATCCAACGAATGGTCGGAGGTTAAATGCATCTAAACCTTTTCTAGCACTTCTGAAAATAATTCTGTGATTTGTTAGAGATTATTCATTTTGGCTTTCAGCTCCGATTTTAAGTCCAATTTTCAAGTGATAATAAAATTGAGTTTCTAATTAGTAATGGGTCACATTCATCAAAAGTTAAAAAATGTGGATATTTGATTATTTCAGATGCACTATACTTTCAGTTATTCTTTTATTGGGGACCAATTGTATTTTCTGAGTCCATGCGTGGCCAATTTCACATGCTTTTCCCATTTGGGCTCACCATTCTGATTTTTAGTCAAAGGTTTGCAGGTAACTGGTACATTTTAGGTCAGCCACCTACTGCTGGCTCTGTGACAGAAAAGGTAGTCTACCCAGTCTTTTACTATGCAACCTGCCAGATCAAAAGTGGTCAGAAAGCTAAAGGCCAACAAATAAGAGCCATCTGTTTCTATATTTGTGATATTCTAGTTAGATCTACACTGGCCCTAAAAACACGGCAAAAGTGTCCACACAATTTACCGGTAATAATGATTTCAGTCTAATTCAAAATAAATCAAATATACCATTTTATTTGTCAGGTAAAATTGTATTATGCCAACATAATAAAACAACCAGAAAGCCAGTTCAGAGATGATACTGTAAATATACAATAGCCATTATTCAAAAATAAATCCAAGAGTTAGATGAAGTTCTTTGCAGCATATAAGTCTCTGATGCAAAAGCTCTGAGAGTCACACGCTGCAGTGGGAGCATCATGGCTACAAGATCCCAATGACTTTTTTGCACCTTTCCCTTAAATACTCAACTCAGAAGAAAGAACCAAAACAAAAAGAACTAAAGATAATAAAAGTTTCGCAAAGACCTCTGTCTCATCATATGTTAATCTAAAAGCTAATCACACCTGGGGTAAAAAGTTCATAATTCACAGACAATTTTACGCTTTAGTAGGACAGACTTTTCTCAAACTCTAATATAAGAGACTACTGCAAAATTGAGACCATTTACCAATCACAGAGACGTTTAAAATGATTCCAAACACGCAAGTTTGATTTATAGATTTACAAGAGACACCATATAAAGAGGATGAAGATTTGGCGTGGAACGTCAGTGACCTGAGCTCTGAATGATGAAGTAAAGGGGGTGGCAGAGAGGGGGGCACATAATGGGTAACCGAGGCAGTTGAAGAACTTGCTTTCTTGCAGATCTGCTACTCAGACGAGAATGCTCATTGTTTTATTGCATGGCAGTTCTTGTGGTCTTGTCTCATGAAATTCCATAACAGATATTATGGAGAGATTTAGCCATCCTTACAGCAATAAGACTGTGCAGTGTTGATTATTCAGTTATCTGTACCTGAATACTGTTAGACTCTCTAGAAAACTATAATTCACTTAAATTTTTGCTATATTTTATTATTCTATGCAAGTTAGTTGTTATATATTATTTGAGATCCAATCCCCTACAAAATCACTCCAATCAATCTAAAATGAAGAATGCTTTCCAACTAAAGCTGTATTCACATCGCAATATATATCGCACAAATGCAAAATATGTCAGATTTTCCCCAATATTGTGCTGCCCTACTACCAACTACTGTCAGTCTGCCATGAACAGTTTTAGAGAGCCTGTATTATGCTTTTTTTGGATATATATTTTATGCTGTATGCAATGTAGTTGCCTGTGATTGTAAAAAGTCTGAAAAGCTATTAAAGTGCATGATAAATAGACTTACTGTCCCCTAAACGAAAGAACTGGTTCTAGTGATTGTCACTAGCCTGGTTTCCGTCCTAATCTAAAAGTTTTTTTTTTTAATGAAAAAAGCGAAAAATTCCCAAATGCGAATTAGGCAAATTGTAAGAGCAGCTGATTGTAGAATTACTAACCTAGTTAACAACATTAAACAAGGCACTATCAGCTGAAATGTTCACTATGTCAGAGTTGATTTAGCAAATCCAAACTCACCTCCAACTCCAAACTCTCCTGAAGTGAGCAAATTATTCTATTTATATTTCAAATTTGTCAGTTCCATCACTTATTTCTCATGCAATACTTCAAAATGTGCATTAACACAGGGTGATGAGAACACATTTGTTGACTGTCCACAAACATCATTTACTTTCATTCTCAAACACTGCAGTTGAAGCTGAGACTTTGGATGTGTTTGGTTTGTGTTGTTAGTAATCTGTTTTCTGCATCGTGAAAGCAAATCTGCTTTGCTCACATAAATTGATTTATTTAAACTGGTGACCTCATTACTGTTCATATGACCATATATCTAGTGCTGAGGAAGACTCTGGAGCTGAAATCTAGTTATTGTAATGGGTATTTTGTTTCTATGCTATGCAATCTGCAGACCAGTCACAACAGACTGGGCTGTCTGACCAATCGGAGCAGTGTATGCTTACAGAGGAAGTGGTTTGGAGAGGCCGTGGCTCTTATGGAGCTGCGCATAGGTCTTTCAATTTTCAGCAGTGAAAATTAAACCACACTGAACTGAACTAAACTGAACTTTAACTCTGAAAACTGGACTGACCCAGTTTCAACTTACTAGAACTTCTATGCTTTCTATTTTCTATGCTCTATGCTTGACACAATCTACATTGTAAAACCATTATAGAAATAAAGATGAATAAAGTAACTAAGAAAAAAAGAAAATAAACAGGAGACTTGAAACCAGAAACAACAGAAGGCACTAAACACACACAATTTTCATTCATCTAATTTTTGTTCACATTGTTTCAGACATCATTTTGTACCTTTAATTTTCTAAACCCACCCATAATTGTGTATGGGACTCTTAGTGTAGTCTTAGTGTATCTTAGTGTATTAGTGTATCTATCTATTTCTTTTCCTGTTTTTGTTATCTGTGTTTCTTTCTTATGTGCCGGTCACCATGCCCTTACTCGCTGTCTGGATCTAACTGTTCTTGCACAAATTGTTTCTTTTTTGTCCTCAGGTATTCAAGAAAGTATTCAAATACGTCTTAATTTAATAAATAAATGCATACGTAAGGTTGTCAATTAATTTATTTATTATACAATATTTTGTAATATCTACATTGGATTTACAGTTTAATATTCCCTGTATACTGTAGTATGTACAGTATAAATATATACATGTTTTTGGCAGGTCAGAAAGTTTGTACAGCTTTTGGTAGCTTGTGTCTAATTATTGAAATACTCATATGATATATCAATTTTCCATGGTAATAATCTATTATTATTATTATTTTTTTATTATTATTATTATTAGTAGTATTAGTATAACTTAAGGAGGCTTTCAGAGAGGAGCGAATCCAAATGCAGATTTATTCAAGTGAACAGTCAGGCAGGCAACGGTCAACACAGGAGCAAACAGGTTCATATAGATAATCCAGAAGTTGTCGTCAATGAACAGGCAAATGGTCAAAACCAGAGAAAGGTAAGATAAACAAGGAGCAAGGCTAGGAATAGATTACATAAAAAATGACAAGGATCAAAGAACATGGCTAGACATAGAAATGAAAAGCTTTGTTAAGTTGCAGGTTCGTTTGACGTTACAATACAAACAAATAACACTCAGCAATGTGTGTGAGCAAGTGTGGTGTATAAATAAACTGTGTAATGAGTCCTTGAGCAGCCTCAGCTGTGAGTGTTTGCAATCAGATGGGATCAGGTACTGGTGTGTGTACACGGTGCACGCTGTGATTTGTAGTCCATTTGGTGGCAGAGTTGTTGTTTAAAAACAGCAGCTCAAGCACTAGTCAAATGTTCTTCAGGAAGTGTATGAATTTAGTCATCTCTTTGTATTTTAATAGGTGCTGATATACAGGGAAACCCTTTCATTTGCTTGGTTTTGTGTGCGTTTACTTGTGGCCGTAGGATATTAAAGCTGCGTGTGTTAGTCATAATCAAGCTCTAAACAGACTAACCTTCCCATCACCCCACATGACTCACAGATGACTGCTTGTGTGGCTGAGTAATGCAGCATAACCTTTGCTTCTCCCAGGAATAAACCTGCAATTCAATTTAGTTTATTTAGAAAAAAAGAGAGAGTCAAGTGGATTTCACCAGCCTGAGTAGTGATGCACTGATTTCTGGATTTGCTTTTTTGCAGCCAATTTTGATTGTGGCATTTAAACAAGCAAAATTTTCTATTTTTAACAGCTAGATAAAAATGAGTGCATTAAAAGGTGTTTGAACAATATGCAGTGGTCTAAAATTAAATCCACACAAAGATGCTACTTACAAATTGCACAGATAGTGATTTCAATTTCAAAATAGA